ACCCTTAATAATGGACTCTTAAAATCTTACTAACGACTGAGGCCAGGTTAACCTAGCTATCGTTTCCTGTCTTCTGCCTCCCTTCCTTCTTAAGCAGGGGTATTACATGGACCATTTTCCAGTCATCTGGGACCCTCCCTGGCTCCAGTGATTGCTGAAAGATCACCACCAATGCCTCTCTAACCTCCTCAGCTATAGGAAGGGTTTAGAGGGATATGGGCCAAATGCTGGCAAATGGGACCAGGTCAGATTGGGCAGAAGAACCCTTTCTGAAGAAGGGTCTAGGCCCGAAACGTCAGCCTTCCTGCTCCTCTGATGCTGCTTGGCCTGCTGTGTTCATCCAGCTCTACACCTTGTTATCCCAGGTCAGATTGGGATAGTCGGTCCGGATGAGTTGAACTGAAGGGTGTGTTTCTGTGCTGTATGACTCGATAACTTTGGGGGTAATCCTTTTGGTCTGGATGATTCCTCCACCTTCAGACCTTTCAATTTCACTTTTTTGTATGTCTACAATCCTCTTGAAATCTTATTTAATCTTATTTTATATTACTACCTAGCTTACCCTAATATTTCATCTTCTCCCCAGCCCTCCTTACTGCTTTTTTTTTTCAGTTAGGCTATGCTGGTTTTTAAAGGCTTCCCAATCCTCAGGCTTCCCACTAATCATCACCACATTGTGCGCGTTTCTGTTGCTTTTAAGCTGTCCCTGACTACCCTTGTCAGCCATGGTTGCCTCATCCTCCCCTTAGTATGTTTCTTCCTCCTTGAGATGAATTTCTGCTGTGCCTCCCAAATTACCCCCAGAAACTTCTGCTTATTGCTGCTTCACTGTCTTCCCACCTCGGCTCCCTTTCCAATCAACTTTGACCCATTCCTTCCTCAATTTTAATACCGTTACATCTGATTTCAACTTCTCCCTCTCAAACTGCAAACTCTATCATATCATGGTTACTCTCCCTGAGAGGTTCCTTCACCCAAAGCTCCCTAATCAAGTCTGCCTCACCACATCACCAGATCCAGAATTGCTTGTTCCCTAGTGGGGTCCACCACAAGCTGCTCCAAAAAACAGTATCATAGACATTCCACCAAATACTTTTCTTGTGATCTGCTACCAACCTGATTTTGCCAGTCCACTTGCATATTGAAGTCCCCATGACTACTGTAATTGTGCCTTTCCTATATGCCTTTTCTATCTCATTTATTTTCTTCCCTACATCGTGACTACTGCTAGGAGGCCTATGCATAACTTCTTTCAGGGTCATTTTTCCTTTGCAGTTCCTCAACTACACCCATACAGATTCTACGCCTTTCGAGTCTAAATCACTTCTTGCTTTTGATTTAATTGCATTTCCTACTAACAAGGAAATCCCATTCCCTCTGCTTTCTGTCCTGTAACTTATTCTTGAAACTTTAACCTCTGCTGACCCTTGCCCATCCTTTAAATTTTTCTATCATTTTCCATGCAACTGTAACCGCACCCCACTATTTAGTTTAAAGCCCTATTTACAGCCCTAGTTATGTGAGTAGCCAGGACTCTGATCCCAGTATGATTCAGGTGGAGCCTGTCCCATTGGAACAGCTCTTCCTTCCCCAGTACTGGTGCCAATGTCTCATGAATTCAAGCTAGTTTCTCCCACACCAATCTTTGAGCCACATATTTACCTCTTTAAAACATGTTGTGGCTGTAGGGGAATCAGTATCAATAAAATAATATCCTCATCATTTAAGAACCAGGAAAAACAAGTTCAAGCAAAAAGAGATAGTAAGAACTGCCGAAGCTGGAGAATCTGAGATAACAAGGTGTAGAGCTGGATGAACACAGCAGGCCAAGCAGCATCAGAGGAGCAGGAAAGCTGACGTTTCGGGTCTAGACCCTTCTTTTCTTTTCTGGGCGGGTCAACTATATTTTGCATAGATTATAGAAAAATAAATGTAGTAACAAAACAGTTCAGTACTCAAACACTGCATCAGAATACTGTATTGATAGGCTTGGCAATGCCTCATTCCTCACCATGTTGATTTATCAAAGGAGCGCTGGCAAGCATTATTGACTTCAAAAGTTTAGGAGGTACCAACTTTTGTCACACCAAATGGGGTTTATTAATTTCAAATCGTGCCATTTGGGTTTAATAAATGCTCCAGCTGCATTCCAAACAATACGGAATCAAGTTGTCAGTAGTTAGTGTCCCAAATTGTGTGGCCTACTTTAATGATGTATTAATATTCTGCGATAGCTAAAAAGGAAATGAAACATAATTCAATCTTATATTGTCAGAATTGTTCATATCGCAGAAAAAAGGTATATAATTTTTGCAATGTCATGAACATAAAGGTGCTTAAACAGTTGAGTTTTTTTTAACAGTAGAAGCAATTGTATAAATCTTGTGTAAAGAGTGAATGGAATTGAATGATTGTAATTTTTGTTTTTTTTTTCAAATGTGTCATTTTATAGCATAATAAGACTCATTTGAAAATGGACTACATCTTCCGGGGTAAAGGCATGTTGGGAGCACACATTTAAGGATTATGAAAACTGGAAAATGGACATTTGGGCATTTCTGGGCTGCAAAGGAATTATCGTGTAATTATTTTCAACTGTAGTGTGAAAAGGTTAAAAGAAAGACCATGGTCTATTTGCTGATTACAGAAAGAAATCAAGCAACTTTGGAAAACAGTGTCATGCAAGGTTTTAGAGAAGGAGATAAGAGTGGTGTTCAGTGATTTCATTATTGAGCAAACAAATCTGACAAATTCTAATAGAGCTATTCTGCTGTCACTGAGCCCCCTCACTCAGTCCCACCCATTCTCCCTCAATTCCTCCCAGTCTCTGTCAATCTCTCCTTTCTCTTTCACACTCTACCTCAGTATTCACCTCTCCTCTCACTTTCCCATTTCTTACATTTGATGTTGATAGACTTACTAGTAAATCTACCAACAGCGAATGTGGGAGAGTAGCAGCATCTCTTTCTTGAATCTTCCAACTTCTGGTCACAGGCCAGAGCGTATCCATTAGCAGGTCACTGATTGTACAAGCTGCTATAGAGAGCATTTCAAGCAAATCTACTTCTTTACCTGAGATAACAAGGTGTAGAGCTGGATGAACACAGCAGGCCAAGCAGCATCAGAGGAGCAGGAAAGCTGACATTTCGGGCCTAGACCCTTCTTCAGAAAACCTTTACTTCTTTACCATCTGTTTTCCTAATATGCTGTAAATAGCGTAAAAACAACAGCTTGTATAAAAATAAAGACAGGGCTGACGCAGGCTCAATTAGTTCCAATGTTGTATCATTCTATAACAGCAGAATTATATCTGCATGTGTTGATCAAATTATTGCATGCCTTTTATACCAATATTTGCAGGCTAGCAGATACAAGAATCCTGCCTCCCACCCAGCCTCTTTTGGAAGACCTCAGCCTATCTTTCTATCAATCACTGCCCCTTCTAGCCTCTATGACAATCACAAATCTCCTTATCCCAACACTTATTGCTGCATTTTTTTTCTGTCTCCAACCCCACCCTGATCTGTTGCCTGAATATGGGAGGCACCCCGAAGGATCCCTAGCAGTGGCCTCTTGCCTCTAGTTTTTCAATCTGGCAGCTGGCCAGCCTACTACTTCAGTCAAACAGAATAAAATCATGTTTCCACAATTACATTCTGCAGGTCCTGCAAATTCTTCAGCGGTTTTCAGCCTCATAAGTTCCCATTCTGGGGACAATTTCTCAATGTTGAAAGTCAAATTCCATTTGCTTTATTTTAAACAGCCTTATTGATTTGTCTCCTTCAAGAATCTGCACATATTACACTTTATCTATGTTACTGCATTCCCTTTAAAATTGTGTGATTTATCTGCCATCTGTCTGCTATGAGGAAGGAAGTGTGCTCATTGTCTATTAATATTATTATTAGTAATTGCCTATTATCAATTTGCATTCCCCATCTTGAACTGGTCATCAGCCTCATAACAGGCATGATTCTTCACTAGTGCACCTCTCATCAGGGCCACCAGTAAGTTTAAAATACAACACTGGTTTATCCAATTGGATCTACAAATTTTCAGCCATAAACACTTGCCTCTCCACAACCAGAGATAGCTAGGCATCCAGATACATCAGCCAATATTTACAAGTCTCTTCTCTAGGTAATGTCTTCACATAGCTTGAATGTCTCCAGAGCTTCAAGGATTTCATCATTAGCTACATGAATGTATTTGTCTGTCATTTCATGAAATATGTTATGCAAAACAGCTTATGATAAACCACCTTAATTTCCTCCTCATTGAAGTCTAGCCCTGTCCTCCATGACAGCCTAAGTAATCTGATAACTGTCCAATAGGGCAGTGTTGATCAGGCAGTCTGAAGCACTGATGAAACACAGGGAAGTGCACTTGTCACTAGAAGCTGTAACCCTTCCACCTCCGCCCTGGATTATACTTCAAATTAATGTCTGAATGTGTAGGCAGTCCTAACTGGACACGTAGTCAAAGATTTACTTGTGTTTTATTGGTAATCTGCTTCATTGTAACTGGTTCTAATTGAGCAGTATTATTCTGCATTCTTCACTCATGCTAAGTTATACTTTAGTTCTATGACCGTAGTTAAGTGGATATTGTACCTGCAAAAGAGTATTCACTTCATGTTAGGTAAATTGAGACTTTAACTTGTATGATTCTTGTAATCTCAGTAATTTTATTTTGGTGTTCATGAGTTGAAGTATATGTCATGTATTTTGCGGAAAGTAACTACTTACAATCGGAGCATTTAGAATATTTGGCCCATAATTTTTATTAAAGGTTCCCTAATTCCCTCTTAGTTTTGACAAAAGTTTATATCTAAACTATTAACCTGACCTTTCTCTTTCCAGATGCTGTCAAACTTGTTGCCTACTTCCAGCAGTTTTGGTTTTAGTAATATTTTTGCACCAAGATGCGAGGGTAGTTGCACAATCAAATTGGTTGTTCATTGTGTGTTAACTATAATTCTAAATATTTCTTCACTACAGGCATTAGGTATTGTGTCTCAAGATCGAGCCATCATTAAAAAGAAACTAAAAGAACTAAAGTCGTCAGTTGAAAAAGCCCGTAAAGCACAACAGAAGTTAGAGAAACAAAGAGAAAAACGGAGAAAAAAAGAACAGGAGCAGCTTCTGAAAAAGAATAAGAAAAGCAAATCTTCATTTCCAGCAGCAGAGCCTGATACTGAATAAGACTGGTAGAAAGTCTGGGTTAGTAATGAAGACTTAAGAGGGTTTTAGTATTAACCCAGCATGCAGTATCCTGTGTGGCAGAGCTGTTGACATGTACAGATTTTAAGAAAAATGCACTTCAGATCTCAATTTTTCCAAACCTCAAAGTTAGTGATGTTTTGGTGACTGTCGTAAAAGCACCAAAAATCAGTGGCATTTTTTGTACTACTGTTAAGTTTACCATTCCACAACTGGCTACTATGGAAGACTTTTGTGATTCCTCTTGCTTTAGCACTAAACTGAGTGAAGCCCAAAGGAAGGATCTGCAGATGTGTGACTGTCCAACAGCTCATCTGACAAGGTATCAGCTAAAAAAGAGTTTGAAACGATCATACAAAATGCAGCCATCTTTCTGGATTGGAAATTGTTAGATTTGGGAGTTAAGATCATACAAACATTTCTATTTTCATGAAGTCTTAAAAAAAATTGGGGTGTGGATAACTTTTGTCCCTTTTAAGTATTTCTACAAGAATATTACTCAGTTTAAATGAAAATAATATTACTGTCAGTATTTGTGTGCCTATTTTTTAAGTCTTAAAAGAAGAGAAGGAACTTGGTCTTTCATGAACTGCTGCTTTTTTCCAGAACCTTCATGTCTTTGAGAACTAAGAGTTTAGTTCCCAAATCTCTGCATTATATAAAATTACTGTAAATGCAAATGATTTTCAAATTAAAATATTTTAGTTCTTGCAAATGAAATGTTTGAACTGTAGAGGGCCTAGAATAGGCAATTTCAGAGACCTGCATATTGCACTGAAACTTAATGGACTTAAACTCCTTAGCAGGAAGCTATACCCACAGAATACTACTTGTGATACCAATGTGTGATGGACAATATAGCTGTGGAATGAGTGAGTACCCATTTTACTCTACCAGTAAGAACGCCTTTACAAAGATATAAAGGAAATTTTCACAAGTGGTAGAATATTTTTGTGCACTCCATTGTTCTGCATTCTATTTATTAGAAGAGTTTCATAGAAGGTAGCTGGGGATTTCAGTACTCCTTTTAAAGTCCCATGTAGATAACTGTTCAGTTGCGATAATGAAGATTTTCCAGAGTAGAGGTGTACATATACATAATTTCAAGGAAATTATAAGGTGGGCCAAGATATAACCATTTATAATATTTCAAAATTGAGTATTGTCTGGCTGAGTAACAAAATATACAAACATTTAAGTGGAAAGAGGGTGATTAATTAAATAAGGCCAGATTTTCTTTAAAAAAACTAATCAGCTTTGTTGGAGAATTTCTACAGATCATCTTTTATATTCCACTTACAAATTTCATAAATTCAATGTTATGTGCCAATTCAGCAAAATCAGTAGGAAAGTAATGTATTAAAGCTCTGGTCTGAGTGTAAATTAAGGAAATATGATTACTATTGTCTATATGATAACTTTTGTGATAAATATGCATTCATGTGTCTCATGTTTGAAACTTGTCTCATTTTACTGTTTCCAAAATTCTCTATTTAGTTTTACTTGATGTAAAGTATCTGACAGATTATTTAGATTTGATTGAATCAATGCTCCAACTTCTTAAAAACATTAAAACGTTGTTATTTTATATGTGAACAATATTATTTTTAGAACGCCAACATATTATCTCACATGATTTGGGGACTCATCAGATAACTTTGTTTTGAATATTGCTTCTTGAGAGAATTTTTAAAAGTTCCCCAGTGCTTGATTAATGTATCAAAAATGTAATTTGTACAGTCCTTTGCATGTTTTTGAATCAAAACTTTTTCTTCTGTTTTTGGTAAGTACATTTTCTCCCATGTCTCACTGAATGCAAGTGGATTCATAAATAACTCAGCACCAAACATATTGGTTTCCTACCCTCTTCATCACTGTATGGCCTATTTTGTTTATAATTGTGTGTCATCAATTATAGCCAGTATTTCACATTTTATTTAAAGCAATTAAATACTGTAACAGCGACAAAAGGTTGAATATATTTTCATGTAAATTCTGAAGTGAAATTTGTGGCATTATGCACTTTCACCTTAATTGTTTTAAGTTTCATTTTACCACTTTGAAGGTATTTTAGTGGTTAAAATTCTTAGTTCTAGTGCAATCTTGCGTAAAAATTAAGCAGCAGACAAGTATGGGCATTTAATTAAACTAATTTGGTGGATTTGTTCAAGGCCATTTCTCTGTTATCAAAGAGATCTACAGTAATTCTGTTTGCAGATGATTAGCTAAAGTTCAGTTTTTAGGATGTGACCCTGATAAGTTTTATTGCTTTTGATCCAAAATATGTCAGACTGATTCATCTGTTAATCCAAAGATTTATCAATAAAACTTAATTATTAATGAAGAAGATATGTACTAAACATAAAACAGGTTTGCAGTTCAGTGCAGCCAATTTAAATAAGTTGAATCTGACATCAGTTTGGTCTGCTGATCTGTTTGAGAAAGGTCCTATGATATTCTGCGCTTGTATTTTCTGCTTCTGTACTGCATGTGTTTGTACTTCTATATTTCTATCCTCCAGTTATTATTTCTTTCATTACAGTTAACATTTTCTGGCTTCCTTACAGTTTCCAACAAGGCAGGTACTCATTGATAAATATTAAAACTTGAGGAAGAAGGAATAGTATTGTTAGAAGCAGCAGTTCATGTAATGAATTGTGCAGCTAGCTTTCAACTACTTCAGCCAAAAAGATGTACAATCTTTAAAGCAACCACTCCCTTTGTCCATGGGTTACTGTTCTCAGCAAAACAGTGATATTCAGACTAGCATTATTCTCATGTATTAACTTTCCTTTGCTAGTTGCAAGAATGATTTTTTTTTAATTTTTACACTCCCATTTGTTGCAATATGAGTATGTCATGCTTCAATATTTGTCAATATACACAACTATTTAAGTGTGCCAAATCCTGCAATTTAACAACTAATGCTAGATAACTTGTCTGATATATTTTTAAACAAGTGCCATAGGGATGCCTCTGTTGTATGAAAGTCCTGCTGGTAGATTTTCCATGTTGACCACTAAAGTGAAAACTGTAAAAGGACAGGTAACAAATTGCTGAGGCTATACTGCATTTAGTAGTTAACTGAATCAACTAGTCTGGTATAATTTTTTTGGAACATTTTCTGATGTGGTGAACTATTATACTATTAAATACTTTGAAGCTGAGGGGAATTAAAAGGAAAAATTAACTTTGCATACAATTAAAATAAATAAATCTAGCAAGCATATAAGGTAGCGATGATGATCCATAATAGGAAGGTATGATGAATTGCCTGCACAGAATGAGGGATTATTTGGTATTTAACATAAACTGTATTAAAGGATGTTGTATCGGTGATTTTGCCTTTTTCTGAATTGTGTAACAGTTAATTCATTTTGAAATAATACAGTTAGTTACATGTAGCTCAAGAATGACTGGGCAGCTAATGAAGAAATGCACTGAGGATGTTGAATTTGTTTTAAATTGCTTGGGTGTACTTTCTATTTGTGTTACCTAAGCATCACAAGATGGAGGAAATTATTTTGAGTAAAATATGTACAAATAGCATGGCTTGGTGTCTGATATGAACACCTATTCACAATGTTCCTCTGACTGCATGATATCTTAATGAAATCTTAGTGCCATGCCTGAACCTAGTCGTCTATGCTTAGTGATGTACTGTATTCCTATGTTGTGTTTACAAAATTACATTCCTCAATGTTTTATTTCAATGTTCATGACTGATGGGAGCTTTATAATGGCTAGTTTGTCCTTCTCTCTCAATTTAAAATGACTGTGATGAGCTAATATTAGTTGATGTAAATAAAGAATTTGCCAGTTGCCAAATGCATAGCATTGTTGTCTGACAACAAATGCATTAAAAGTAACAAGAATTGAAAAGTCTTAATTGTTTCTTTCACATTTTATGTTTCACAGTTTTTTCACCACATTATTCATAGTAATCTGTTCTATTCTAGGATAATTCTGAATTAACCTTTCCTAATAATCATAGGTTTATTTTTAAAACTACCTTTCTGCATGAATACTTACACCAGTTTTTCCTGTGCGTCATTTAAATAATTCAATTTATCACATCATCAGTTGCAATAGTACCACAAAAATTGCACCACCTACTTTGCTGTTTGCTGTAAACTGTGTTGAAACAATGACAAATTGAATTTGTTTTAACCTCATATCAATAGAATTTTATTTATTTTTTAAAAATCTGAAGTTCAGGAAAATAGGCAGGAGATCCTGATCTTGCGATAGATTTGCAAATTCAGAAATGTTACCATATAATATGCCAAAACTAACTTCACTAAGCAGAGTTGGTGGCCTGGAGCTCCTTCAAATGTTTAAGTGGTCGGGTGGTGAAAGAATGATTCCATTTTCAGTACATTTCTGATTTAGCAGCAAACGTAGTATCAATTAACTATTCAGCTTCTTAGCAAGAGATGTGGAAAATTATTTGGACTGACTTTTCATAAATGTCAGCTGAAGGTCAATTTCAGGGAATTTCATGGACGGTTTCTCAAGCAATGTTGCTCACACAATTTTCCACAGCTCACCTGTGAGTTTGCACCAGGCTTCCATTCACGCTATCATGAGGTAGCAGCAAAATGCTCACCAGAGCCGGCATTCACCACATCGGTATCATATTTAAACCCCAGCTATGCACTGTCAAACGCTGCCAACCTAGTCGGAAGTAGTCATCCACGTCAGTGCAGCGTCCATGGTCCAGAGGGAAGCCCAGCAATGACATTCTGCACTGTCTACAAAAACCTTAATGATATTGTGCACTGTGCAAAGTGCCACAACTTCTGTCTCTGCTTCAGACTCATTCTAACTCTGCCATTGCACCCACCTTGCACAAGGCTCTTGATCCACCACTCACAGTATTAAATACTGTATCTTACCTCAATCGGCAACATGATGCCACAGGAGTTAGCACTGCTGCCTCACAGTGCCAGGGACCTCGGTTTGATTCCATCCTTGGGTGACTGTGGGATTTGCATGTTCTCCCTGTGCCTGGGTGGGTTTCTGCTGGGTGCTCCCTTTTCATCGCAGAGTCCAAAGATGTACAGGTTAGGTATATTGTCCACGGTAAATGTGGTGTTACAGTGATAGGGGAGGGTGAGAGTCTGAGGAGAACACACTTTGTGGAGGGTCAGTGCAGATTCAATGGGCCAAATAGCCTCTATCTGGGAGTCAATCATGCCTCTTGACCTTGAGTGTTCATTGCTGCCAAACATGACAAGTTGCTTGCCTATATCTACACTAAAAGACAAGGCAGAAATACTGTGAGCATTCAAGTCAATGCAAAGTCCGTTATGTGTTAAGAACACAAGCTAAAAGACTGAGATACATCCTGCTTAATGCATGGGATGACTGATTGTCCACGTGTGTAAAGCAGCCTGTCAGCATTGGAGATCACTGACACCTTTTGTTGTAAAATGCTGAACCATATTATAAGTGAGTCCCAAATGTAACATCATGATGTAGTGAGGCTGCTGCTTTTATGATGCCAACCTTTGTGGGCAAAGAATGCAGCTGGTTGCTGCCCTTGAAGCGTGCTGGTCAAGATGTAGGCCCAGAGAAGATACCAGTGAGCTGGAGCCACCGAGTAACTGCTCAGACTTCCATGTCGGGAATTGCCACTATTTATTTTCTTTCCACTGTGTCTGGAAAAATAGCAAACTGCATATAAATGAGATGGGATTAAGTGATAATTATATGTTAATGCATGCAAATAGCTTAGCCACTCACTAGTGAGATTCTTTTCAAGTCGTTAAAACCTTTCACATTTTTCCATTTATCATATTTTCTTAACTGACCCCAATGCTCATGTGATTCAGGACAAATTCCACCCTTTGAAACAAATGGAAGGAGTTAACACAGCTGTTAGCTTTTATGAGAGGTGCACTATTTCTTAGGTTACAAATTAAATGGAATCCTCTTGCCCAAAATATTTTATAACTCCACTTAATGAAATCACCATGAATTAACTCTGGAAATATTAGCTGCCAGAGTATGTGGTAACTTCATTCTTTGCATTTCAGAAATTGATTAAAAATTGGTGCATTACTTCAATTAGATTTTGTTTGAGTAAGACATATCAACGCTGAAAATGTTTTAATGAGTTTTGGCATAATATGGGTTGCTGTTTTGTATACTGCTGTTTTGCTGGGAGGTTGACCCAGTAACGATGAATGTCCAAATCAGGATGATGTATGACTTTAACATAATCTGATGGTCCCATTTATTTCCTGTCTTCCAGGTGTTTAGAGGTTGTAGGTCTGTAAGGAGTTGCTAAAATATGACAGCATTGCATCCTGTAAATAGTAACCATTACAGCAGCCACACAAGTATGGCAATGGGACCGGAAGATCAAGCTACTTACTGGGGTGCAGATCAAGTGGTTTGTTTCAGCTCTGAATCATATTGAGTTTTTGTTCAAGCAGCCCATTTTTAAGTGTATTCCATCACAATCTAGTCTTGTCCCTCAAAGTCAGTAGCAAGGCTTTGGCAGTCAGATGTAAATTACATGCCACAGAATACACAACCTCTCACTTACCCCATATCAGTGTATGAGACTGGCTAATAGTGAAAATTGACAAATAAGCGTAATCCAACACCACAATTATTTTCTGCTACTTCTGCCATCTACAATCCTACCTCACAGCCTCTTCGTAGGATACATGGAACAATCCCTCTTCTGCTGCTACACTGGCACTATCCCCCACCTTTTCCTCTGCTACATCGATGACTGTATCGGCGCTGCCTCGTGCTCCCACAAGGAGCTTGAACAGTTGATCAACTTTACTAACGCCTTTCACCCCAACCTCAATTTCACTGGACAATCTCCAATACCTCTCTCTCCTTCCTGGACCTCTCTGTCTCCATCTCTGGTGACCACCTCGAAATTGACATCTATTTCAAGCCCACCTACTCCCACAGCTACCTAGACTACACCTCTTCTCACCCACCTTCCTGCAAGAATGCGATCCCCTACTCCTAATTCCTCCGCCTCCACCGCATCTGCTCCCACGATGGGGTGTTCCACTCCCGAACATCCCAGATGTCCTCTTATTTCAAGGACCGATACTTCCCCACTTCGGTGATCGAAAATGCCCTCAACTGCATCTCTTGCATTTCCCGCACCTCTGCCCTCACATCACCTCCCCCCTACAAAAATAAAGACAGAATCCCCCTTGTCCTCAGATATCACCCCACCAACTTCTGCATCCAATGTCTCATTCTCCGCCACTTTCGCCACCTACAATCTGCCAACACAACTAAAGAGATATTTCCTTCCCAAGCCCTATCGGCCTTTCGTAGGGACTGATCTCTCTGCGAGTCTGTTGTCCACTCCACACTCCCCACTAACCCACCACCCCCAGCACCTTTCCCTAAAACTGCAGGACATGCTGCACCTCCCCACTAACCTCCATTCAAGGCTCAAAACAAACCTTCCATATCAGACAGATGTTCACCTGCTCATCCGCTAATGTGGTCTACAGTATGCGCTGCTCCGATATGGCCTCCTGTATGTCGGTGAGACCAAGCATAGACTCGAAGACCGTTTTGTAGAGCATCTGTGATCCATACATGACAAATGCCAACAGCTTCCGGTCACCAACCTTTTTAACTCCCCCTCCCCATTTCTGGGTGACATGTCCATCCTGCGCCTCCTCCAGTGTTACAATGACACCACGCACAAACTGGACGAGCAACACCTCATATTCTGCCTCGGGAACCTACAGCCTGATGGCCTAAACATGGAATTCACCAGTTTTAGTATCTCCCTGCCCCCAGCCTCATCTCATTTCCAATCCTTCCTCTCATCCCTACCTCCTTGACCTGTCCATCTTTTCTCCCACCTATCCGTCCCACCCATTCCACTGACCAATCCCCACCACTCCCTATCTGCATTCACCTAACACCATCCTACTTACATTCCCCAGCCCCACCCCTCCTCTCTCTATTTATTTCCTAGCTCCCTTCCCCCTCCCCGTTTCTGAAGAAGGGTTCCGACCCGAAATGTCAACTTTCCTGCTCCACTGCTGCTGCCTGGCCTGCTGTGTTCTTCCAGCTCTATACTGTGTTATCAAATAAGCAGTCATTCAATGTCTGTGGTAGGTTGTCATGCTCAAATATTAAGGGGAGTACTGCATGATTAGCTTTCAGCTGGAATGTTAAACCTAGGTCTCATGACACTATTTCAAATACGAAGGGAATGAATTCAAGGCTCTTGGCTAATATTAATTGTTCAACCATCTTGAAACTAATTATTATATGAGGGACTTTGCTATGCACAAATTGACTTGTATTTCCTAGATTACAACAGAGACTGCACTGTAAAAAGTACTTAAATGGCCGTGAAGTCATTTGGGATAGCTGCAGTTCTGACTTCAAGATGTACTTTAACAGAATATTTCAAATTGTTCACGAACATAGTTACACACATTCTAAAATCATGTCCTATTGTCATATTTGACCTTTTTACTTAAAATTATTTAATTTTTGTTTGCTGATTAGACAAATGAATTATAAGACAGTGTTGTGGCTGGTTGGCTCACTGAGCTGGTTCGTTGTTCTGCAGACGTTTCATTACCCTGCTGGGTAACATCATCAGTGCAGCCTCCGATGAAGAGCTGTTGTGTTTTCCTGCCTGGTATTCAAACTCTGGGGTCCGTTAAGTTGGATTACCTCACTTCCGGTTTTCCTTTGCAGTGGAGTATATACAGGGTCTAGCTCTATGTGTTTGTTGATGGCTTTCTTAATGGAGAACCAGGCCTCTAGGAATTCCCGTGTTTGTCTCTGCTTGGCCTGCCCTAGGATCCTGGTGTTGTCCCAATCGAAATGGTGGTTTAACCTTATCCATGTGTTTGGAGATGAGTGA